AAGTAAAAATATCAGAAAAATCTACTTGAGTACAGTAACGAAGTATTTGTACTTCGTTACTTCCCATCTCTGCCTATTTGAGGCCCTCCTAAGAGCTATAAAGGGTGTCAAGCTGGTTTTGCTGTGAAGCATCATACTAAGTCACACAGATGATGCATAATCAACCTACTTTTGTAGCCCACAAATAAATAGTGGTCGGATAGTACATATTGTTTGTAAGAATGTAACCTTTATGTGGTTTCTAATTTTACAACCACAAAAATAAATGTATAAAGTGTCCGTGAAGCACAATAAAGAGGATATGTGTTTGTCACATTTCAAAATAAAATTCTAAAGAGTGGCCTGCATTTGTATTCAGTCTGTACTTTCTAGTACTATCTTTTGCTGCATTTTGTTGGGGTTATATCTCTACACATCTTTGCACATCTATATCCTGACATACTTGTCATTCATCTGTATTATTATCTATTGCCTCAGTTAAGGTCTGCATCCTTCCTTTTGTAGGTGAGCAGTTTAGCAATACCAGATTGAGGGATGATGGAGTGATCAGTGCAATGAAGAACATTTTATACTGTTATACATGGGTTTTATCTCAAAGCGTCCAAATTAAGTGGGTTTCATAAATATGTATGCCACACTTTTCAGATTACTATAAAAAAATGAAAACGTAACATTCTTGTGCTGCTATTTGATGAACTGTTTATCTGTCACATATAATCAAAATGAAGAATGTTGAACAGTACAATTATAATGTGATAAAATTGAAATAGTTGTTCAGAATAATTTTGACCCTAATGATGATTATGCAGGGTGCTCCGTCTAAAAGTGGCAGGATGAAGTCCAGTGCTTCACAGAACGCCAGCAAGGTCTCAAGGTAAGAACCTGAGGATGTTGTCAATTTTTTCTTAGAGCTTTCTTTCCGGTATAGTAAATCCCTAAATCTTACCAAGACTCTCCCCTCTTAACCCGTCTGTCTGTTCTCAGTCCTGATGAAGATGGATGTTCAAGACCTCAACTTCGCAAACAGTCATCTGCACACATGAAAGAGGAAAAGCGAGAAAATCGACGACTGTCGCCTTGCGGTACTGAGCTCCTACCAAATCGTCAAGGGATGGGGAAAAGTCGTCGAGCCCTCTCTCTGCCCATTTCTCCTATATCCGGACTACGCCACTCTCCGTCCAACCCCCTATCACACTCCCCTGCTCCAACTCCAGAAGCACTACAGCAGCAATACAACCAAAAAGAAGAAGACTCTGACAGTGCCAGTGATCTGTCAGATTCGGAGCGACTGCCTGTACTGCCCTCGCCATGTACACCATGCACCCCTCCCCACCTCAACCTTCGGGCAGAGATCATTAACACAGAGGACTTCCTCCCTGACTTGCCCGGACCACATGGGACGGTTGGGGATGAAGTTGAGAGTGAGAAACCCACCTACAATTACTCAGATTTCTTGCCTCCTCCGTTTAACTGCTGGAGCCTGAGGCAGCTGGCGGTGTTCCTTCACACAGATGGTCGTGGCGCCCCCCGGCCCAAACCTGTGGGGCCGTTAGAAAAGTACTTGGAAAGGCTGCTGCAGCTAGAGTGGCTTCAAATCCAAACGGTGCAAGCAGAGAGCAGCCGCCCCCCAGGGGGTCGTGCAAGGCCGCAGAGTTTCCCCTCTTTCGCGGCCGCGCCCTCTGCCAGGCCTCACACAGCCCCTTCTTCCCGACTCAACTCCCCCAAAGGGCTACGGCAAAGTTCTCGAGCCTTCCCATACACACCTGTCAGCAACCTGCCGTCACCTGCCTCAGCTCAACATCAGCTCTCCCGATTCCCAGTTTGTCCACACTGTCACATCCGCTACCCACTCTGCAATGGGAGTTGCTCTGCCTACGCCTATCAGCGCCACTCACGGCTCAGTCCATTGCTTGAGCGCAGGGGACAACCAGGAGGTGCAGCTAAGAGAAGCAGCAGCGAGACTCGGGTCGCCTCCAATGAAGGTAGGAGCCCTGGGGCGCAAGGTGGAGGAGCCCGAACGCCAGTCAGCCCCCCAGCTGGGAGGAGTCATCTCAGGCACATGCAGGCTGCAGGCAATGCCCGGAAGCAACAACAGGAAGCCAGCACTGACCAAAGGGGCAAAGGGCAGGTGAGAAAAAGCCGCGTCAGGGCCAACTCTGAGACGGATGTGAAAAAGGAGCCAGGCGGGGTTAAAGGTGGAGCTGCCGAGAAACGGGGACATGCTGGAAGCAAGAGGGAGCTCATCTCCTCCAAGAGAGATGAGAAGGACTGCCAGAGGGGAGAGGCGGGAAATCAGGCCTCTAAAACTGCCACGAAAAGAGCTGCTAAAGATCCATCAAGTCTCTCTAAAACTCCACCTAGCAGCCACAGCATTCCTAAAAATGGAAAAACAAAAAATGTGCACTTTGTTGCTAAGTAACCCATTTAAGCCTGAAATATAGTGCTTTAGTTAGTGGTTACTTGGTGATTTCAAAACCTATGCTTGCTCTGTGTAAAATCTGTGTAAAACTATCATGCTCTAGCTCCTACAGTATACAGCAAGATAAACAGCCTTTAATAAACGGTAGACACGGTCCATCATTCAGAAACTAGTAGATGAATAGGATAATATAGGTGCATCCTGATCTTAAAATTTTCAAAAACCCACAAAAGTATATTCTGTAGATCAATACCACAAATATATAAACACATATATTCCTGTGTCTGATGGGGTTTTAAGGAAGCCCAGTCTCTTTAATAGCAGCCTTCAGCTCATCTGCTTTAATTGATGTGCTTTGGGCAACTTTTACATTTTTTCCTCCTGATTAGTTTTCCAAAGACAGCACTCTCTAAACAGCCAGCTTTGTTAGCAGTTACCTCTTGTGACTTCCCTGCCCTGTGAAGGTGCTCCATGACTCTCGGCTGGACATCTGTCCAGTAAGTGAACTTTCCCATAGTTGTGTAGTCCAAATCTATGCTCACATTTCTTTAAAAAAAGACATATATACCTGCAATATTCAGGTATTATAGGAAACTACATTTGAGCTGTTGTTAACTGTAGGGTAGAATCATCAAAAAAGAAAAGCTTGAAATATTTTACATTGTCTTAAATCGATATGATTTTCACTTATTTGATCAAATTACTTAAATAAAAAAAAAAAAAGCTTTTCAATGATATTCTAATTTATTCAGACCAAATCCTTTTGGTGGCATTTATTTCAAATGTAGAATAATATGCTTAATGTTGAATTCTGCTTAGACATAAGGCTTAGATGTAACATGGAGACAGCTGGGATTATACTCTGAATTTTAATGCACTGCACTCTCATCCCTCAGTTCTCTGCTACTGTAAGATAAGAGATTAAATGAATGACAGCAGGTATGAGCATCAGTGATGCCTAATGATGTTTAGAACAAGTCACTGCATTTCATTTTTTTTAAATCCAGCAACTTCTGATGTTTGAATTTAATCTTTAATAGTTTTTTTTTTATTATTCTTTCATGATTCTGTCTTTTAACAGAAATTGAGGCACTGGATTGAGGTGTGACTTGTGTAAGGCATTGTACTTCATCCAGTGTGTGTTTTTTTATTTTTGTTTCTAAGTGCTTTGCATCATTGAACAGCTAGAATTGTAATATTTTGATGCATTTCAAATGGAGCCGAGCTCGTCTTGTCGTTGAGGGCCATGGATTGTTTGTTACGAATGTAAATGTGTATTTTTCCAGAATTTCTATACCATAGTTATATTTATGGGACATAGTGCTTGACTCTTATTTATTATTGTCATCTACATGTTTACATGGTCACAATCTAGAGAAAATCTTTTTGTGGAAGAGCTGAATGTATCTTCTCTGGCCTCTGCAGTCATCCCAAGAATTTGAATGGAGTTTTGTCATATCATGGCGGGTCGGCTGTAATAATGATGTGCAAATCACCTCCACGTTATGCTGCATACATAACGTTTGTTAAGCATTGTTAATATTATAGTGCTTTATCCATATTTGTAGTTTGATTTAAACGTTCAAAGCACTAAATTAATGTAAATGTGATGTACTCTGACTGCACTCATTGAGTATATATTTATGTTAAATGTCAAAGCCATAGTCAAAGGATCAGGACATGCAAATGGTGTTAAGGTGTACACTATGACGCACGCTGAAAGATTGTGGTATTTTATTTTTTCTCAGTGTTGGATGCAAGTATTTGTAAGGCATAGAAATAAACGTTTTGGACACAACAATACTGATCCTATGGCTATTTATTTTTTAGTATTTGCTTTTATTATTTTAATAGCATCAATAGTGAAAGACAAGTAAGCAGGGCATCGCCAAAGTGCAACAACCTGAACATGACTCTGCCATTCTAACACAAGAATATGCGTCAGTTTAAACCAATCCCCCATAGGTCTGTCTATGTTTTATGGCATTTGGTCTGGGGGAAGGTCAATCTTTTATGAATTGTAATGTAAATCCCTTTGTTGTCCCACAATTTGGAAATTCACTCTGCATTTGACCAATCCTCTTGGGGAGCAGTGGGCTGCCATTGTGTGGCACCCGGAGGGCAGTGTAGGGTTAAAGGTCTTGCTCAGGAACCCAGAGTGCAGGCCGTGGGGATCGAACCGGGTACATGGAACCTTCTCAGAGCCCAAGCTACTGCTTTAACCACTAGGCCAACACTCTCCAGAGTGTTACCAGCTGAAAGCTGAGGAAAAGCATCCACACAGCATTAAGGTTCCACTACCTGTTTTCTCCTTAAGTATAGTTCATTAAGGGTGAAATGCCATGTTTTAACTATACATTACACGTAACACACATATTATATATATGGTCGCCTCTAACCAACTATCTGATGTGTCCCCCTATACTGCAAACTATGAGTAAAAGCTGGACAGCAAAAACTTTGTAGCAGCAGTTTTAATTTTATTGTGTAAATAAAATCCATATAGTTGTTGTTGATACAAATCCACTGTACATTATCAAAAGCATCATGCAACTTTGATTAAACTCAATTTGTTTTATTTTCTGGCAAGTTCAGGTGTTGGGGATTGTGGAAGTGCTGCATAGGGGTGGGAGGTTTAGTTCCCCACCCACATGTTGTTACAAACCAACATGGAACCACGTCCTTGCACAACCTCTCCATTACCCAAGGACGGGGTGGGGGGGTCAAGAAGTGAAAAAGTCTGCAGACCCTGTGTTAGATTTTATAGCTCTCTTTCAGTAATTCTTTCAGTAATTGTCAGATTGGGGGAGCGAAGGTCTTGTCAAGAAAAGTGGATCTCTGCAGCTCCTCCAAAGTTACAGTTGATGCTACCCCTGCCGTGTCTTCCTTGTTTGCAGTTTTGTTATATTATTTCCAGATGATGGACTGCAAAGTGAGCTGATATATGCAAACCTTGACACGCTGTTTCATCTTCTAACTCTCATCTAAACTTCACTTCTTAATTTCTGACCTGCATGCTGAGATTAAAATGGACACCAGTGGATTCTAAAGGGAAGTATTTGCTCTAGATTTAATTAAGGGTGCTGGAATGAAGGAGGATTTAATATAAATCTATACACCTATTTTTTTAACATAAAATACAGGACGACATTTTTGTCTGTCACCCACCCTTCTTATTGTACGTTCAGAACTGATCTAAAATTGAAATCATGCTTCTACACATTTAAAGAAGCTGAACATCTGTTACCCGTTAGAACTGTAAAAAAAGGGCAACGAAAAAAGTTGTAAAAGCATGTTAAAAATCCCAGCCATTATTACACCTTCTTCTGAAATGGTAATGGTTTAAAAATATGGCCAAGCTGCTTTTCCCTGTCATTCGCACATCCCGGAATGAAGAGCAGAAAAAAATACAGATGGTTATTATTATTATAGTGATTTGGACAATTAAACATACCCCTGTTAACAGAACGCTTATACATATACATCCATAACATAGCATTCAATTCAATGTTAAGTTACCCAAGTATGTGTTGGTATAGAAGCATGAACTGTCAAATGTTTCTAGGCCAACATCCTCTCTATAGACAGGCCCATTGTTCCGCATGAGATCGTAGCCTCCCACTCTTTTCTCCTGGCCTGTCAGCCTTACAGTATGATTAGATACAATCTCTTAATGCTTGTCATCATCTATACAGACTTTATCTTGAAGTCCGATTATATACTAGTCCATCCTTAGCTTTATAATCATAGCTTGCAATTCTTTTATACGGAATAAAAACTAATATTTTCAAAGTCTGCATTGAATGAAAATACAGAGAGCTCTAACAATTTATCAAAGTGAAAATGAATCATTTTACCTTCCCTCCGTATCAATAATGTTCAGAGTGTCCTCCAGCAGTCTGTACTTCATCTCATAATCCTCCTGATTGCTGGGCAGGTATGATGGCGATGCATTCACCTCAATTAACCACCTGTGAAGAGATGGAGGATGGCATTCAGCAAACATTTACTTACTCTTTGGAGCCAGAGGGATAGAAAACCCTACATGACAGCTGTTCATATTTATACAGTCCCTCTGTGGATAATTAACTCACCGTAAAAATAATATCATAGCATAGCTATTTTATTTTATTTTAGACAAGTATATCATATTCCATGTTGGTTTATCTGTTGTTTTTATTGTGAACAGAGCAGGAGGATTGTAAAACAGGCAAAAGCTCACTCTGGTAGTTTAAATAAACACTGTTTGAGGTTCTGGTCCAGTAGAATGTCATAACCATAGAGCTCAAAACAGTGTTTGTCATTTATAATGACCTTTTGATGTTGAATATGCTATTTGCAACCCTAAATAAGTATAAAATCAGAACAATGAGACACTGGCTTACCTTTAATGCCATATAGCAACATAATGTATTGTTAATTGTTTTTAAAAATGTTGATACCATTTAAACTTCCCAGTAATTTTGTTGGATTACAAACTTGGAACTATTGATTATATGTCAGATCGACACAATGTTGTGGAGAATGGTAAAATGGATGAAAAAAAAACAGCATGTTTTTAATTTTCATTAAAAAAATTAAATTTTTTAAATTTTTTCCTGTGCTGATGGTCAGGCCCCCTTTCATTTATACCATTGGTGTATACAATCTTTATACTAGCTTTAATTGTGGTAATTTTCTCTTTGAAAATAGGTCATAGTTTTGGATGGAGAGCATCGGGGACATGAGTTTTTAAGTGTTGCTGTGGATCCTAAATGAGCTTCAGATGAGGATTCTGACCCGACCACTGAACTCACATTCACATTCAACTGTTACTGCATGAAAAACATATGGCACTTGTTGTTTTTCATCACCAACTAGATTTTTTTTAGTAAAGTTCTCAAATATTTTGCCAAAATACAATTTTTAAGCAGTTTACAGTTAGAGATTAGATTACAAAGCATAGCTGGATCCCTCATTTACAGTATTTATTTCTCTCTAGTATTAGTATACTGTTTACTTTAGAGAGGTTACCAAGCACGATATTGCATGATAAACAACTAATGTCAATTTTTCTTCTGAATATAAATACGGGTAGTTTAAGTACCACTAGAGCATATGTACCACAGTTTATCAACAATTGATATCAGCTTTTGACTAACTTCCCTATAGAACTAAGCCTCTGAAAGGTTTTTATTACTGGATTTTACTCTATTCAGCTGGATTTATCTTTCCATTAACTCACACTGGTGTCCCTGTCACTAAGGGAGGAAATCCTCCACACAGCATGATGCTGCCAATACCATGTTTCACTGTTAGTTCACTTCCACACGATGTTTAGCAGTAAAAAATACTTTTGCAATGTATTGTACAATTTATTTTTACTATACATACCTTTTCTGGATCGTAGTCAGACGCAGTCTTTTGAACAGACACGTTAGTGAGGTGTATGTCTGAAAAGCAACACTAAGGAGAACAGAAATCTGAAGGAAAAGGAATCTGACAAATTGGATTACACTGAACTATTTCATCCCAATCTTTGCAGGGGAGTTTCAAACACGCATGAAGGGATGCACTTATCGTCAATGCTGCTGAGGGAAAAAGTGCTTGAGATGCGAGCAAAACCATCTCTGTATAACCATGCTCTTAAAGGAACGTACTGAAATAAAAGGACAATATGCAGATATAATGATGCAGTAATGTAGACATGGTAAATAATACCAAATGCTTAAAGGCTTAAGCATGGACAGGACATAAACTCTCAGATCAAATTTCCTGCCTGTCATAATGAAAAACATCAGGTTTTACAACACATGGACATAGGATTATATGATATCTTATATACTGTACAGCATACTATTTTTATTATTCCAGCTCATTACCATTAATCAGGTAAGGGTTCTCTATGTATCTCTGTACCATGTACATTTCCAAGTGTGCTGAATCTTTCTGCTCCTCTCTGCGGGAGCTTTCCTGTCGAAAAAACAGGTACAAAAGTCTGATCACACAGATATGGAATTTAAATCCAGATTTTAACTAACTAATTCCCCAAAGAAGACATTTAAATGAAAATTAATTACCTTCTCCCAGTCTATAATGTCTTTCAGTTTTCTGAACAGGAAAATCCCTTTGCCATGAGATTTTCCTACCTAAAATCATAACAATGTTTCTTGGATCTTCTAATTAGAGAGTAAAGTATAATTTTTCTTTTTGTTGTCCATTTTAGCTTATTGGCTTCATGATCCAAATGCTGCCCGGGCTTCGCTTGTTCTCCTCTACAAAGAGATGATATTCGCTGAGAAGAACAAAGGTGCCTGGGGAAAAAAATCACATTTAGAGGCTTCAACGGTGCCGACTTCCTTTTCAAGATTTTTCTTTTTCTTTTCTTTCTCACCTTTCCTCACTTTTTCCACTGTTACTTAAAGCTTTCCCTCTAGATGTCTGCAAAGATAAAGAAGACTTAATGCAAGCTCCCTTTTTTTTGTAAAAATAACTTAAGATAAATAAAACCTTGAACTGTTTCTAATTTATTTGTGATGCTTTAATGAGACCTGCTTTATTTCTATTCAGAGGGTAATATTCAAGTCTTTCCTGAAATACAATTTAAGGTAGAAATTGGGGGAAAATGTAAATATCAGCTACTATAAAGGAACATAGTAGCTTAAATAAGAATATTTCTTCCCGTGGTTTTGATCACGCTGGAGGACATGCAGCATATGTATCGGTTTACCTATTTATTGCCAATTTATCCCTCAACCGGATTCTTAAAATGAGTTCTGCATTTGATTTCAACAGGTAATTAAAGTTTTATGAGGTTTTTTTGGTGTAGGTCAGAATGCTGGGCAGATACGTAAAATCAGTTTCCATTTTCATATCCAGTACTTTCTTCTCTTATTTTGAGAAACAGGCTGGCCATCTTCAAACGGCAAGTTTTCTATTTTTTTCCCAAGGAGTTTACAGGACTTACTTTTCAACCACAGTTGTAAAATACATCTTAATTATCAGCCCATTTAACAAAATAATTATTCTGAGAGTATTTATAGCATATAAAACCCTCATTTGTATCCCAGGAATTCAATTATTCCACATAGCTCATTAGAAGCGATGGGAAACATTTCCCTGGCCTGGCTAGGGAAGCATCACACTCTGTTACCCAATCACTTTAACTATGTTGTGAGATTCAGGTTATATGTTATTGCTCATCCACCAGAGAGCACTGTTGCTGCAATCTAAAATGTTTGACCACAATTACTTTAAAAAAAAGAAAGAAAAAAAAAAGTAATTTTGGTGCCAAATAAATGGAAAGTTGTCAAAAAAATCTATTGATATGAATGGGTAACAAAACTACGGAAGAGGATTAGGGCCACTGGGGGGAAAAAAAAGTTAACTGATTTTTACATTTTACTTCAGTTTAGTATGGGAAAAAGTCAGAATTTTTTTTTTCTCAGAATTCTGACTTTAATCTCAGAATTCTGACTTTTTTTCTCAGAATTCTGACAGATAACAAACATGTTAGCATCAAGCCATAGCCATGTCTGTTTTAGAGACTAGCTCTCCTGTTTTAATGACTTCCTGCTCCTCTATTAATGAGGGGACCCCTCGGGCATGTAAAAAGTTGCCTAATTCCGTCATTTTCCACCAATGTGTCACTGGCCCTCTCAAACAACTCACGTCTTTGTCAGTGAAGCTGAGTGTTTCCACATCTCTACCTTCATGGTGCCCATCTACATTAAGATCCAAAATTTTGAGATTAGAGTCAGAATTCTGAGATTAAAGTCAGAATTGAGAATAAAAAGTGAGAATTCTGAGATTAAACTCAGAATTCTGAGAAAAAAGTCAGAATTCTGATTTAGTTACACATCATGGTTACACAAAAACCAACAGAACCAAAGGGGCTGTTCCAAATAGAGTTCCAATATGAAATATCTGGTTCATATTTTCTAGCTGCCTGTTTGTATACTTTTTTTTGACGGGTGAGACATTACAGAGCAATTAAACACTAGACTTTTTGACAGGGTATATTTGAAAAAA